TTTTTTTTTTTTTTTTTTTTTTTTTTTTTTTTTTTTTTTTTTTTTTTAATTTAAGGAAATCCTGATTTTTGACTGCTAAATCCTGATTTCATGATTTTTCCAAATCCTGATTTTTCACGGTAGGCAAACTGCGGAACAACGACGTCATCACTTCACGCAAGGTGAATGTAACTCCACAAAAATAGCTCGATAAAAAAATCCGATCGGACGGCCGACTTTTCTCAAATCCTGATTTAACGACCGATTTTTCCTCAAATCCTGATGCAATCAGGATTAAATCCTGATTGACCTAAAACCCTGATAGAATCGGGAAAATCCTGACCTGATACTAGACACCCTGTAACATTTATTTTGCTGTAGTATGAAATGAAGTATTTTTACAACTCTACGAGGCTTGCTTAAATATTATTAAATAAATTCTTCTATCTCAAAACTCACTGAGACATACTAACATCAGTAAATAAACAGCCTTTCGCTAGACAAACTTCTGATCCCCTTCAGAGTCCCCTTATAATGAGAGTCGAGACAACACCCTCTCATGGAGTCACAAACGGGAATATAGATTACAGAAATTGAAGTTTTTTGTAATCTTTGATCGGCCCATTCTCAAATTCCTTTCTCCGTTCCTTCTCTTATTTCGTTTGTTCCTTGCCGAACCCGTAACTCCATGGTCCATTCCAGATTATAATCTTTGCAATCGGTGAAAATGTAATTTTTATTCCCGTTCGTGACACTGCGAAGGACTAAAATACGGGAACCAATCAGAAATGGATTCACATTGTCTCGACTCTCAGTATAAAGGGACTCTAATCCCCTCCGAATGCGCAACACCGCTTCTGAGTGGCGAGTGCTTTTCTCAGAATAATTTTTAATTCAATGCACCGTTTGCCGACGTGGGCAAGAGCGGAGCAGGAGCAACAAAGGAAATTTACACGGCCGAGATAGCCATCAAACTCGGAAAATGAATTCTCCCCGGTTAAAGCTCCGAGTGCGCTTCGAGTCGACACGCGGACTGCCGTGCTAAGTAAAAACGTCCTATAAGCATTCGAATGTTGCCAAGTTTCCTAGTAGAGAAGATTTACTTTAGAGGAAAAGTTCTGAATATCTTTCCTTGGAATCTTCAGACTTTTTAGATCAAATAACGAAGTAAATCCTCTGGAAAATTGGAGGTGAAACTGTCACAAATTTTCCGGAAAATTTGTGATTTGTCGGAGAGAATTTGGCAACGTCTGATGGTTCATACGGCGTTTTACCATAGCACGGCAGTGGAGTGAATCACTGCTATCCAGAACGGGAGAAAGATCGAAAGTACGGTTCGGTCAAATTGACGAATGACCTTATATTTCGAATTCACTGATGTCCATCACTTTTCTTTATTTGCACGGCGGAAAAGGGGTCATACCGTGTCAGCTTCACAACTTTATCATCTTCCTGAGTGGCGAAAATACGAAAGGTTGAAAAAGCAGTCCATTCTAACTTGCGGATGCGAGCAACAAGAGTCGCAGTCGAAAAAGTCAGAATGAATCTGCACGTTATCGTACCATTTTGTTGGAATGAAAACTTTCAATTTTTTGGCCGGAAAGCAAAAAAGGACCGAGAGAAGGATAGGAAAAAGGAACCATAATGTCTAGACGTATAACTCAGATAGCTATTCTAGAAATATCTTTCTCTTAAACGATAGATAGAAGCTGAAAGTATCCCCGAGCACTAAAATTCACCGTTCGATCTGATAAATTGAACACCGTATTCCGCCACATTTCTCTTCGAATCCTTAGAGCATAATTTGCGTTTTTTACGGAGCTTTCTGAAAAGAAGCCAGCTAAAAAGTGCTGTCAGGCGCTCTGTTCTCTCGCTAAAAACTAATACCGAAATAAAGTCTTTCAGCAGTTTACTAAGATGTCTCGTGACTTTTCAGTGCACTCGCACTGAAAAAAAAAACCCCAGCCGAGGAGGCCGTACTTAAGGGCTATTTAGACATACCGCCCGCGTCATTAGCTCAGGGGCTGAAAGTTTCGATCGTGGCACGGGGAGCAGTCGCAACTACATCTCCAGCACCCGGAACTTTCGGCCTCTGGGCTCGGAAGGGACGGTTTGTCTATAGAGCCCTTAACTTTATTTACACACTGAAAAAAAATCAACTAAGAAAAGGGTAAAATTACCAAGAATTCAGAGTTCTATTTGATCCCAGTTTCTACTTGGTAAAATTATCATTTATGGAATTGGTAATTTTACCGAGAAATCTCGGTAAAATTATTGAACTTTCTCGGTAATTTTACTGGACCTTGGTAAAAACGCCAATATTTTTTATCGACTGTGGTAGAATTACCGAGATAAAGTGGCAAAGTTACCGGGAATTGATTACCAATAAAAGTGGTATCCTTACCTGAAAAAAACAGTAAAAATACCGGTTTTTAGGTAAGCTTACCAGTCTGTCTTAGTAAAATTACCAATAATTGGTAAACAAAGTGAGATGGTAAAGGTACCAACGGACCTTGGTAAAAACGCCGAGAATTTTTTTCAGTGCATCAAAAGAAAATCCGCTCAAATTAAGAGGCTTGATTCTTGATTTAAGCTTAAATCTGATTGAATCAAGAGTATTTTTTCTTGGTGATCTTTTTCAGAGTCTGGACTCTAGATCCAATGTGGTTTTTTTTCCAGTGCGTGTGCGGGCGACTTTGAGAACTTAAGATGATTGGAAAGTGGGCTTACCTTTGACATTGAAGGATCTGCGGACGGTGCAGTCGCCGTTGGGCCTGAGCGGGTTAACGACTCCGACACCGACGCCGACCCCGGGGCCGAGGGTGGAGGTGTGTTTGGCGGGGTCCCAGCTGCTCTGGTCCTTGCGGGCGCCGCCGCGGTCCTCGAGCGGCTTCCCGCCCTGCTCGCGCCGCTTGATGGCCACCAACTCCGGGAGCCGCGAAACCGGGGAGCTTCCGGGGGGGATCGGCCCCCGATCACTCAGCGAGCATTGGTACGCCGCGATCGAGCTGCTTCTTCCCAAAGGCACTTCTGTCAACAGAACAGATAAAACCAATGAGTCACAAAACTCCAAAAATTCTTGGGTTGTAAAAAAAAGACGTGGTTCACTTGTGGTAAAAAGTTGAGACCCGGGGATGTACGGTCCCTTTCACACATCCGGTCACATATTTTCCCTGTAAAATAGCAGGCTACCTTCCAGGGGTGCATTGAGGAGCTGTTTAACCAAAATAAGACTGAATTTTCATTTTTTCGGAATCAGGCAATTTTTAAAGCAATACATTCAAACATCACTCGGATGAGCAATTGAGTTTCATCAGTTATTAATTTTGTTTCTTAGAAGCGATCGGATTGGATTGGATTTGGTAGATCCTCAGGTAGCGTCGGCTGCGGAGACTCTAAATTTTGCCTACCGTGCGACAGATTTCGCACCGGCCGGCCGGCCGGCAAGCGGCGCGGCGCGACCGCGCGCGCTTCCTCTGGCGTGTTGCGCCTGGCGCGCGCTCGAGCGCCAAGCTGAAAATTCGCGAGTAATCTATGCGCGATCTGCGTTCATCGGGCAATGGCCCGGGCCGGGCGGCGCGCATCTGGTGAGATCCGTGGCCTATATAACGCCCCGCCACACGCGGCTCATCCAAGCGTGCGACCGACTGTCACAGTCGCACCGTTGTCGGCTTCTCTCCGATTTTCAATTCTGTAGAATTGAAAATCGGAGATTGTTATGTATAACAAACTCTCATTATTTCTTGAAACAAATCGAGGATTAAGATGATATTCACACTGAAAAAAAAACTACGGCCGCGGAGGCCGTACTAACAGGCTAAATTGACATACTGTCCGCGCTCCAGGCTCAGAGGCCGAAAGTTCCGGGCTTAACACCAGGAGCAGTTGAAGCTATATGGATCCAGCACCCGGAACGTTCGACATCATAACCCGGATCGAATGGTGCGTCTAAATTATTAATAGGTGATAATTAATAATTATTAGGTAGCCCTATAATTGTTTTCTCCGTGCACCATTTTCAAGATGATTCGATAATCGATCGATCAATTCTTCGTTTCCTTGGGGGGCCTCCATTCCAAGGTCGCAGAATCTACTAACAAAATTATTTTTCCGTACGCAAAATGACGAAATGACGATATTTCTGTCCAAAATTTCGCTCCTCTAGTGAAAAATCTGCGAGATTCGAATTAAAGAATTACCACAAGTTCAGAATAAAAATGTCAATTGTGAAGGGCGATTTTGCGACGTTGAAGTGAAGTTGCGTTCTTTGCGTCATGCAGAGGACGAGTTGATAATGATCGAGGCATTTTTCGGAAAAGTGGAGCACCCATAATTGAGAAAGACGCATTGAAAGTAGGGATGCAGAAATTTCCAAGCCTTCTCCATATGTAATCAACCAAACCCCATTGTCAATCGAAATCCACGCTCGCATTTCTGTAACTGATTCTGATTAAGTGGTATATACATGTATATATTTTATAAACTAAAAGAATTGGAACAATTTCTTAGTAAACCGGCAACATCTCACACGAGTCAGCGAGCGCGAATGGCATTGATTGTGATTCATGAGGAGCGCACATTCCCGAAAAACACAAAAACAATGACAAACTTTCCTGTGAGCACAGTATAAGAACTAGCCAGATGATGCAAAAATATTAATAAAAACCTTCACGGTTAAAATCAAATATAATGGAGCTGAAAATCGTGAAATTAACATCGTGACAATTTCTGCCATATCTTTTCTATTGATTTACTCATTTCATTATTTTTCTTTCAAACGCGTAAATCATAATGCTGTTTACCTTACTGTTTGATAGGAAAGATTGACGCTGGGTTGAATGCCAAGAGGTACCTAAAATGAACAAATCTCATTATTTTCATCTGTTACCGATAATTTATTATTTTCGAATCGAAGAATGTTCGTCAAACCTAACTGCTTCACTGTCTTTCGGTTGCGAAACCCTGGATTGGGAGGGGTGCATAAGACACGTTTACTCGTGTTGAACACTTTTTTGGGAAAGCCCTGTCAACACTACTAGCAAAAGTTCACGGAACTCTGCGCGAAAGTTAAACTTCGTAAACCTATTTTTGTGTAGACAAGGCCTTCCATTCATAAGAAATGAACGAAACAATTATGAAAGAACACACATAAATGTGGATTAATGATTTTAACTTCCGCCGCCGCGCCGCGCAGACCGTACCGTGTTTGGCGCAGTGCGTGAAGTATTCCGACAGTTTCGTAGGCGCTATGAGTTTCACGCCGACCGCTGCTGAACGCACTGTGTTTGATGCAATGCGTGAAGTATTCACTCAGTCTTGTAGGCGCTATGCGTTTCACGCTGATCGCACTGTCTTTGCCGCAATGCGTGAAGTATTCATGCATTCTTGTAGGCGCTGATATGTGTTACATGCCAATCGCCGCGCCGAGGGCTTCTCCTTTTCATCTCAAGTCCTCGTCATCATTTCTCTCGAAGTCGCGCCGTTCCAGGCCAAGTTGCGTGTTTGGCTTCTCTCTTAACTCGACTAATTAAAGGTACTGTCTCTTGTATCACTGACAGGCGACAAAATTAGAAATTACTATACTCTCAGGAAATGAGAGATATTGTCGCCTTCTGGCTCGTTTGTAATTTTTTTTTCTAAATTCGATTTTTTTTTTTTATACCTAAATTTTAAAAAATTGCAAAATTTGCCGCCCCCTATAGATTTGCCGCCCCCTATAGATTTGCCGCCACGGACCGCGGCCCATGTGGCCACCCCCTTAATCCGGCCCTGGGTCTCAGCCTTGCAATAACAGCGGATCGACGATTCGTTTTTCTGTAATTTTCCGGTTCAAAATGAAATTGTTACGTCTGCCGAAACTTCCTGGTTTTTTGTTTGATTTCTTGTCTTTTGCCTTTGAATTTTGCAGCAGTCTTTCCCCGGATTAAGTTGTCAATTTACTGTGTTTCTTAACTGATAAAATGGTTCTTCATTCTATATTTCCACGTTGTAGTTAATAAAATTACTGGGTGTTTTGCAGCGACTTCGATTAGTTTAACACATTGGTTGAAGTAGTGAACTACATATACAGATCAGTAACTACATCGGATTCTACCGCAGAGAAAATTTTACTTCACTGACTTCATAGCGAGAAATGAGGCTTGGCAGTTTTACAATTCGTATTGAACTTGGAATCATCAATGAACTCCTGAAAAGGTTTCCGAAATATATCTTCTCATGTCATAAAGGAAGACATTATCTCTCTGAAATTTTAAGCACAGTTAACTAAGACGATTACTTCTTGTGCAAATAATAAAATCCATTAGAACGAAATGGTAAATCACTCCAATACTCATTGCAGATCCAGCCGCACAGTGCACACTGCAAACAGAAAATAAATTGCACCATTTCATCCGGGGTCTTATATACTGAGGACCCTTCCTTTATTGCGTGTATCCTGCTGAGATTCTTCCAACATTTTCGTAGACGCTGCAGAGACTTCCCAACCACGCGACTGTGATTCCAGGAAAAATGGAGCGGCTGTGAAAAATGAGAAAGTCGCTTTAAAATTTTGGGAACGAAGAGATGCTCAACATGGGATAGCCTCTTTGAAACATAGGAAGGTTGAGAACTTCCTGGATCCTTGAGAGCATCCTGATCGTTTGGCCGGCTCCTCTCTACTTTGGGCCGCAGTGCGCCTGCTCCCTGTTCACTGAAATATTGACAACTTGAATGATGCGGGTTCGTACAGGACGTGGCGTGTTAGAGAATAATATTTTTAAATGCTACTCGAATCCATTTAAAGTGGGCGGCTACGGCGAAGAAGCGAGACTGAAGGAATGGAGGAAGGGGAAAGGCTCGCCGAGAGTTCACGCCGAAGGAAAGTAAAAAATCCGCTTTGAACGTAGCATCGACAGCGGTTGCGGTCGTGTCGGTGGGTCAAATTGTTCAGCTTCTTTCGCTTAAGGGTGGTTGACGAAAGAGATTGAAACTGAATTATTAAAGGGCTCATTCCTTGGTCAAGCCTCGTGACACCGTTGTGAGTTTGTTACCGACTGTCCGTGACCTTCAGCATCAAATATGAATTCGCCTTACATCGTCTTGACATTTGCGATAAACTTTAAGCCTACTTCACAAATGATGAGAATGAAGTTTAATTCAAAATGTACCGACTTTCAGTTAAAAATGACCAAACGAATTTTTTTAGATAAGTTAGAGATTCACTGGAAAAAACCACATTGGATCTAGAGTCCAGACTCTTGAAAACATTGACAAGAAAAAATACTCTTGATTCAATCGGTTTTTTGCTTGAATTAAAACGAAATCCGCTTAAATTAAGAGGCTTGTTCCTTGAGTTAGGCTACATTCTGATTGAATAAATCTTGATTGAATAATTTTTCTTGTCGATGTTTTTAAGAGCCTGTACTCTAGATCAAATGTGTTTTTTTTTTTCCAGTGTTGGTCAAAAATGAAATTGACGTAACGTAACAGGCGGCGTTGCGGGACAGTCAAAGCCACCTTTGATAAAGATTTTACGGGTAAGTTGAACTGCGTATTTCAAAAGTGGGCTGCTTGCTACTACATGGATTGCATTTAGCAAGAAGGAACCAGCGCAATGTAAAAATTTTGCTTCTTCATAATTATCTGAAATCTCCAAGAATATAGCGAATAGTTGTTGCTTCCCATCCAAAAATTATAAAATTTAAAAGGAAATAACTGTGTAAATTTTAATACTGTACACATACAGAGTTTTTTTAAAGGAAAATAGGAAGTTGCACGATTGAAAACGATGTAATCACGCTGGTTCCTTTTTGCTAAATGCGATCCATATTGTCTAACTTCCTCCATCTTGCAAGAGAACTTGAGAGTCTAAAAAGTTTCTATTTTCATACCACGAACGTGACAATTAAATAAGAAAATAACCCCGTAAATTTCATACTTTACTCACGATACTACAGTTAAAAATTTTAGGCATGTATAGAAGATACATTATCTTAGCATTGCTGTGATGCTAGCCGTTCCTTTTTGCGAACTGTGCGTGTATGTACCAT